GAAAATCATGTCCAAATCTCCTCCTACAACATTTTTGATAACATCCCACGAAATTACAGTCCATTGAACATTCAGTTCCTTAACATTTTAAACACGATGCCTTCGGAAAAAATTGTAACGGCAAATTGGCAATTTAAAAAAAAATCATTGCTCAGTAATTTAGCGATAAATTTTGAATCTATTGATACCGATTAAATCTTTAAATGATGTAGTTTGAAATGAAATTAATAGATTTGAAAATTGTCTATAAATGGCTGGGCTATAGTTTTTCAAACAGTGCCAGTTTTCCATTACACATTTTACCGGAGGCATCGTGTTTCACCATCTCGGAAATTGTTTGCAGAGATTTGCAACAGCAGGCAACACATTTTACTGAGATCTCAGCAGAAGTGTCGTTTGTTTTCTGAAATTCCGCCAAACATTTTCCGAGAATCAGCAACCAAATCATGCCCTAACAACTTTGGAAATGACCTTTTTTTTGTTGCAACGAACCAATGGTGCTCAAAAAGTGACGGGGCAATTCCAGGCGTCAACCATTGAAAAATCCTACTTCTTTCAGTCACATTCAAATCTGGACCAACCCACTGAGAACCGAAAACACCACCACAGCTGGCTGCTTTATTGGCCAAACACAACCAACAACACCCGAACACATTTCTCACCCCAATCGCTATATACTGTTGTCGTTCAATACTTATTAGTTCTGTTGTTTCTATTTCTTTGTTTTAACTTATCTTTCAAAACTGCCAATCTAACCTAACTATTTGTCAACCATATTAGTTGTCGATCGCTTCCGTTGTCAGTTGCGAACCATTTTGTGTTTGATGAAAGGTTCTGAAGTTTAATTCCTCTCGCTATACTTATTTTCTTTCATCTCTTTTCTCGTGTTACCATTCACCGCTTTCTAGGTCAAATTTCCATCCTCCTAATATCATTTACTCTTTTGCAACCACCCACTGAACAACTTCTGTTTAACATCAACTACTACCTTCTTTTAAAGTGTACTGAATGTCTGTCTAAAACCAGACGACAAACTCCCAGTCACAGCCACACCACACCCACACATACACCACACGACTGGCGTCAACAATGCCGCTAGCAACATCAACTTTTTTCCGTCGTGTGACCAGTATTGTTTTGGTGTGTTTTTATCTCCTCGCTGTTCGTCCCTTGTTCTTTGAATATTCCTATTCTTACCAGTTTTGTTTTCCAGTGTTCTTCTCTTTAGATTTAGGTTTGATTGCTCCAACAATATTCTTGAATTGTGTTTTACTACTGCCTTCCTACCTACCTCGTAAGCGACATGGAATGGACATTTCTTAACGCAGACTTCTGACAACCACCACAGGGACTTATCGGGCGAGGGAAGCGACGAACTCAACACTCCCCCTTTTAGTTTCGGTCGCTTTCAAGTGTTTATCTGGCATTCTGTGTTGTGCTATTTATTTGCTGCAATTAGTGGCTTTCATTCGTTATCAGGGCAACTGAAGCGGTATGACTCGCAATTTTCTTGCGTTCTGTTGCATATTTATCCTTTTTGCTCCGAGTGCTGCTGGTGTTAATTAAATTTACACACTCTTCGGTGCTTGAGTGCTGAGCTGGAGCTGGTTGAACATTTTTAGTGAATTAGCATCGATGTGATTTTTTTTTATATCAAAGACATCATATCAAGAAGACTTGCAACTTTGCCAGAGTTCAAGCGACAAATACGATAGCGCTGCGCTTGAGTGAAGGTGGAAGCAATGCATAGAAAAATGAGCAAATACACAAACCTTTCTTCTGAGGATGTAATCTTTGCTATCAAATTCGTTCGAAGCATTTACCTTTGAGCGGCAGATGACGCGATTGTACCTGTCTCATAGCGTTCGTATCAGAAAATGGAAGAGCTGCCAGTCTTCTTGATTAGTTGTCTTCGCCCTAACCCTAACTATTTGTTGATTTATCGGCCCTTTATTAGCAGAGCCAGTTTGAAGTTTGAGTAATTTTAGCAAAACGGTCATCTTTTTTTAGCGTTTGGTTCATTGTTTGTCATGAAAATGTGATTTTTTGAGAAAAAGGCTTGTAAGATAAGAATACTTCTCAGGTTGTTCTGTTAAATTTTTCAGACTTATGCGGAGAGCAGTTTTAAGGTATACATTCAGGGGTGTGTTAAATAAACATTTAGCATGGGGTTTATGAAACTTAGGAGATATTCTCCAATACTATTGAGGAATATTTAGGGTACCAGCAAAGATAACATATCAACAAGACTGGAAAAGTTGCCATAGCTGAATTATAATACGCCATAACTGAAACAGCTAAACTACTCAAGGTATTTAAAAAGCGCATTTTCTTTGAAAAATCAAAGTTCCTAGCCAGTACCTTCTAGATGGAAACTTAGATAAGAGACTTTCCATGGCAGTTTGTGTGCCTGTTGCTCGAATTCTTTCGCCGGAAATTTCTCAATCCAATCTAATTTAGCACCAAATCAAAGGAACATAATTAATTTGCCTCCCAATTTCAACTGTTGCGTTGATGCTGCCCGAGAAGTGGAAGACAAACGTTCTCTCGTTTCTTCCATCACATTGTTCAATTCCGTTTGCCGTCGGGTCGTTTAGCCTCGGCAAGAACTGCGAAGTAGTTTGTGGCTTAATTAACTTAACTGTGGATTAAGAAGGATCTTGGCCTGGGTGAAATAAGGGGGAGGCTGCAAATTTTCGCCACTAATCACATTTCCAAACAATCAACGTAACACTGGTTGGTTGATTACAGCGCAGGTGGTGTACCGAAGCTAATCACAATCTGAAGTTAATTTTTTTGTGAATTTATGTCCTTTTGGAGCGAAAAATTCACTGGGTAAAAAAGCAGAGCATTTCCAGGCCAAATAGCAAAACAAAATTAATTTTCAGACTAGACCTTCTTCGATTTGCATGAAGCGTTGCATAATTGATAAGTATGGCTAATTATTCACATTTGAGCTGAAATTCGGCCATTTTGAATCTCGTAAAAAAAATCAAAATGACGTGTTCGATATTTTAAAACAAATAATAATTACTCGAGAATGGCACTTAGTGTTAATGATTCTCGAGTGTCACTTCCAGTTTCCTATTCAGGAAAAACATATATCGGGTAAAATTTTTCAAGTAAGTTTGGGTAAAAATCCAAAAAAGCGATTAAAACTTAAGTAACAAAAAACGACCCTCTTCAATATTTTTGAATATTTTTTATTTAAAAGCTTTTGAAAAATGCTATCTGCAGTGAAATTTTCAAGTAGGATACTTACAAATTAACAAAAATCATTAAATAACAATTTTTGGTATTTTTTAAAAATATTTGTTTATACCGAAAAAAAAATAATGAAAACCTACGCCATTTTGAATTTTTTTTTACTTTTAAAATGGCCTAATTTTAACTTAAATGTACATGATTGATAATTAAAAACAATTACGTAAGTTTCAACCAAAACGTAGAAGGTCGCGTCAGATCGATTTATCAGTTGGCGTGGAACTGCTTAGCAGTGAATTACCAAAGAGGTGGCAACAAGTTGTTTGACTCATTAATCATTTCGTTAAGGAAAGCCGCCGGTGCCGAATGAAGATGTACTCAGTGAATAATGGTTGGAAATTGGAAAAGTATTGTCATTGAAGTCTTTATTGGATTTTCATTTCAAAACACTTCCTGAATTTGTCAATTTATATAATCTATATAGGGAAAATGGATGTAATGCCGGCCTAAATGCCCCTAATTTGGGCCCATACATAAATTCAGCAATCGACTAAATTTTCAATAGCGACCAAAAATATCCATTAGTACCGTCTCAATGACGCGTTCGTCTAGATATAATTGATAAACAGTAGATTTTTAGCGATGGGCCCAATCTTAGATCCATACGCCAACATAAGAGCCATTTCCCCTATAATTCACTTTTTTAGACAGATTTTACCAGATTTTTTAAAATGAAAAATACCCACCACAAAATGCTGATTTCGAGCTGCCGAGAACAGTTGACTAACACGCAGTTTAAATCCAAAGGGTGCCGAATAGGAACAGATTGCCGACAATAGTGACACTCAGTTGGGAACTTTAAGCTGGGTTTAGACTAGGCAAGTCAATTGATCAACTCACTTATGCTGGGTCCAACTTTTTTCAATTCAAGTGAGTTGATCAAGTCAGTTGAATGGCATGGTTTACACGTTCAATTCGCGTTCAAGTCAGTTGAATTCAACTGACTTGATCAATTGACTTGCCCTGTCAAAACCCAGCTTAAAGCTGGGTTTAGACTAGACAAGGCAAATGATCAACTCAGTTGATTTCAATTGGCTTGAAAAGTCGAGCCTGGTTCAAATTTTTTCAATTCAAGTGAGTTGATCAAGTCAGTTGAATGGCATGGTTTACACGTTCAATTCGCGTTGAAGTCAGTTGAATTCAACTGACTTGATCAATTGACTTGCCCTGTCTAAACCCAGCTTAAGAAAATTTTCGTTGGAGTGAAAGGATAGTACAAAGTCCGCCATGTTTCACGCACAGTCTGACGTTTGCTTATGGATTTTCTCATAGGAGTAAAGAGCTACAGAGTCGCCGTCAACGCCAATAAGCGCGAATCTTTGGCAGCTCAACATCATTTGTTTGTAAACAAAGGTGCATCCTATATCTACACCGCAAAAACGAAAACGACATTAGATTCCCAAAATTGCATTTTATTTGACGACTAGACTTTGACCTTTTCCCTTTACAAAATGAGACTTTTTCAACTCGAACTTCACGTGTCCTATTTTTCACCTTTTCTCTTTTTTCGTAAACCTTTTCTTCTTTCGATTTTTTTTATTTTCCCATTGGAAAAAACCGTGTTCCGAGTATGATTTTTCACTTCTCTATTCTTTGCCTCAAAATTCAATACATAACCATCAATGTGGAAATTTACTTGATTCTTGTTATTTTTGTTTTTCTTCGGACAATGTCCGCCATTTTCTTCGCAAACAAAACACACAAATACTCGCACATCATCACCATCACCACGGCAGGAAGTCGAGAGAGTCGCGATTCGACGACCAGTGGCGGTGCCGATTCGGTGTCCACCAGTACGGTCGGTGGCGGTACGGCCCTTTCCGCTCCCACCAGCCCCAACGATGTCCAAAACAACAACAACAACAACAACAACAACAATGGCGGCGGAAATGCCAATAACGGGCTGGCCAGTACCTTCATTGGCAGGAATGCGTTGCTCAGGGGATCCAAGTGTAAATTTCGATTTTTTAAAACTCTCCTCTTTAGAAGAAAAAAAAAAGTTTAATATTGATTTCTTTTGATTTTGCTGTTTCTTTGCAATTTGGCTTTTGAATTTACTCCACTTTTCGATCGTTGATCATTGGCTTCGGTTTCGTGGTTTTTTCTTCTTTTCCGTTCTTCGATGAATCTACGTGATTTTTTCAGAGACATAATTTTGGTGAGAGTTTTCTTCTTTCGGTTAAGTTTCCCTTTGAGTCTTCTTTCAAATTACACATTGTTACACTTCTGTACAAATGCCATTCTCGGTGTGGTTGTAGTATTTTTTTTTTCGTAGACATTTTTAATCATAAAGTACGTAGATTAGTCTTCACATGTAGAATTTAATCTTTGGTTTGTAGGTTTTATTTTTAAATTTCGTGTTTCCATAATTTTCTTCGTTAACCAGATTGATCTGCGAAATGAGATTTAGTTTTCTTTAGTTTTGGGAGATATATTTAACAAAACACAGTTCCACGCCAAATGTCGAATCGATCTGATGCAACCTTCTCCGATTTGCATGAAACTTGTTATGGTCATCCATTCTTAGACTTAGATCTTCTTGGCTTAGAATCTTAGGGTAAGATTCGGCCATTTTGAATCTCACAAAACAAATTCAAAATGGCGCATTCGAGATTTTTCAACAAATCATAACTAGAAATCGACACTTCCAATCGAGATGACGTCTGCTACAAGGTTCAGGAAAAATATGCTCCGAAAAAAATTCAAGTAATCATGGGTAAAAATCCAAAAAAAATGTACTTGAAAATCGTACTTAAGTTACAAAAATATTTTTTTTTGATTATTTTTCATTAACACTCCGAATACCATGCCTCCGGTAAAATATGTAACGGTAAATTGGCAATGTTTGAAAAATCATTGTTCAGCAATTTATCAATAGATTTTAAATCTTCTGATGCCGAATAAATCATTAAAGTCTGCAGTTTCAAATGGAGCCTGTAAATTTGAAATTTGTCAATAAATGTCTGAGTTATGATTTTTCAAACATTGCAAGTTTGCCGTTACACATTTTTCCGGAGGCATCGTGTTCGGAGTGTTAAAAAGCTTGTAAGAAATGCTACCTTTTGTGGAAATTTCATGTTGGACGCTTAAAATTTTACAGAAATCCTTGAAAAACAACTTTGGACAACGATTTTCAGAGTCTTAAAAAAGCTTTTCTGTACAAAATTTTACAAAAAAAAACTGTTAAACAAAAAAATTTTAACATTTGTTCAAAGGTTGTTGCTCAAGGATTTTTGTAATTTTTAAGAGTCCAAATGGAAATTTTTTTAACAGAAGGTATTGTTTTTTATAAGCTATTCAGTGAAAAATGTTCAAAGCTATTGAAAAGGGTCATTTTTTGTTAACTAATTTTTGAACAATTTTTTTTACGTTTTATCAAAAATCAAGGTTGCAAATACTCATTTCAGCTAAAATAATGCTTTTCGGAATAATAAAACCAAAAGATGGTATGATGACAAGTTTACTTGTCGTTTGAAACATAAAACCTGTAAATTTTGCTTTCTATGAGTCACAATCAGCAATTTGCTGATCGCTGAGTGAGTAAGTGAGTGAGTGAGTGAGCGAGTGAGTGAGTGAGTGAGTGAGTGAGTGAGTGAGTGAGTGAGTGAGTGAGTGAGTGAGTGAGTGAGTGAATGAGTGAGTGAGTGAGTGAGTGAGTGAGTGAGTGAGTAAGTGAGTGAGTGAGTGAGTGAGTGAGTGAGTGAGTGAGTGAGTGAGTGAGTGAGTGAGTGAGTGAGTGAGTGAGTGAGTGAGTGAGTGAGTGAGTGAGTGAGTGAGTGAGTGAGTGAGTGAGTGAGTGAGCGAGTGAGTGAGTGAGTGAGTGAGTGAGTGAGTGAGTGAGTGAGTGAGTGAGTGAGTGAGTGAGTGAATGAGTGAGTGAGTGAGTGAGTGAGTGAGTGAGTGTGTGAAAAATCGCTGATTGTGACTCTCATGAAGTGAAATAAACAGTTTTAATATGTCAAACACATTCTTTGCAACCTCTTGCAATCTTACCTATTCAAAATATGATCATAGCATCTTATTATTTCATAATTAAAAAAAAAAACATTGTTTTAGCTGAAATGAGTATTTGCAACCTTGTCGAAAATTACTAAAAAAAATAACTGTGTGGATTTTTCCTAAAAAGACGTCATTGAAAGTAACGATTTCGAGTTATGATTTGTTGAAAAATATCAAATACACCATTTTGAAGTTTTTTGCAAGCTTCAAAATGGCCGATTAAAAAAATGTGAATGATGACCATAACAAACAATGTTTTTTTACGACTTAATTTAAGAGTTTTTTAGCCTAACGGCTGGTTTGCCTCCGAACAAACAATGTTGTGTTACATTCAAATCGGAGAAGGTCTTATCTGAAGTTTTTTTTATTTGACTTGAAAATGTTAATTTGTTTTACGTGAATATGCAACTGAACTGTAATAATGACTAAAAAGCTTTGATTTGGCTCATTTTTTATGGAATCCAATAATTGAAACAATGAGTACCTAACATTTTAGTGGAAATTATTAAAAAAACTCTCCAAAGCTAGACAAACTATTAACTCATAAAATTACATAAGTTACTCTTTTACAAAATCCAAAATCATTTTCCAATAGTTTTTTTAAAGCTTGCAAGATAAACAGATTATGTTTAGATTCTCTCAAAGTTCGTCCAAATGGTTCAAATTTCTTTCGTGCTCTCATTCGTCGAAACTGAATCATCTTCTCTCATCGGGCGATATCCAGCGTTCAGAATCATAACTGGCACTCGTTGATAAACTTCTTACGCTTACTACCACGACTTGCGTATTGTTTTCGCTTAATTGGGTTGTTTTTATTTTGAAAAACATACCGGTTTTTATACATCATCCGAAAGAGCTTCGTTTTCTGGGCACACGATATTTTTATCAACCCCATAGACATGTATTTCGATTTTTAAATCAAGATTTAATTTTTTTAATTTTTAACGCTAAATTTACTAGTCGACAGTTTACTCTCATACAAAATCCCAACGAGGGGTGCTAAGATGGTGATTTTGGCTAATGTTATCGCACTTATTTAAAATAGTTCCAGTGCACCAAAATTGTTGAAATTTTAGATTTCGGTTCCATTTTTAATGCAGACTACGAATATCCATTTAACTCGATATGCCTAAACAACCCAATTGGGTTCTTTAAGGGTGTTGAGGTAAATGCATATTCGTAATCTGCATTAAAAATGTAACCGAAATCCAAAATTTCATCCATTTTGGTTCACTGGAACTATTTTAAATAAGTGCGATAACATTAGTAAAAATCACCATCTGAGCGCCCCTCGGTGGGACTTTGTATGGTCAATTTGATAGTTTAGTGTCAAACAGTGAAGTTATTATTTTGCATTAAATCTTGATTTAAAAATCGAGATGAAAGTCTATGGAGTCGATAAATATATCGTTGTGCTCAGAAAAAGAAGCCCTTTCAGATGATTTATGAAAACCAGTAAATTATTAAAAATTAAAGAATCCAATTGGTAAAGCACATTAAGTACACTGTGAATATTATTTATCGTAGAACATCATCCATAAAACAGTATTGTCTATCTTCTATCCACTCTGTGGAGGGCTCTACGCTCAAACTCCATAGCAGATGACGCTCAAACTCCATAGCAGATGAGACTTAACCGACCGTTAATTAAGTGAAGTGTTATGTCTGGGTGACTGCGAACTTATGATTCTGTACGCTAGAATATAGGTGGGTAGTGGAGAACACTTCCAATCCGCGAGAAACATTTCGGGAGTATCGCGAATCAAACCCTCTGTTTTCAGCATGGCATTGCCACCGGATCACTCGGATAAAACTGATTACATTAGTAGCCTCTCCCTTTCGATACGTTTCATCTAACACACTCTCACAGCGTGAAACCGTCCATCTGTTTACTAAGATTAGGCTCGCGATGACAAGCATTCAGTATACAGCGTCATCATTACACACTTATTTCATTCTGTTCACAATGGGTTCAGTATAGCGCAACCATCAGATCGTTTGTAATTGATGTGCTTTACTAGACATACTGCTTGCATAAACCCCTACACTAGTAGTGCTGTCTTTCTTTTAACGTTTCTTTCTCTTTCAGTGGGCGGGAAGAGTTGTTTTTGTTCTGTTCAGTATTTTTACTTTTTAGTATATTGTTGTTACACTAAAATTGAATGATACAGTAGTCGGTGTTGATTTTTTTCTCTTCATATCATTAATTCACTCTTTCATGGAAATTTGCTTGTAAGTTGACCTGAATTGTCGCAAAACAATGGTTATGGTTTTCAATTAGTTCGGTTTCCTTTTTGAAATTCATTATTGCCTAAATAATATTTTTTTAGCGAAGTTTGCACATATTCACTACAAATAACAAACAATTTTTTTTAGGGTGACCAGTTAACCGGGAATTTTGATGACACATCGGTACAAATATACTTCGTCCTCTTTTCGGAAACACAAGATTCTAGACCTTGAAGAAATGTCAAGACCCTTGGACTGTAGTAGATTTTTAGGATGCAGTCACTTTCAAGAACTATGAATAGAATTTTGAGGAGATTTTAGAATGAATTCTAGGGACAACAAGAAAGTATTTCAGTGAAAAATTCCAAGGGAGTATTGGGCATCACACCCCAAAGGTCCTGGGTTCAATCCCAGTCGGTGCCACCGGTTCAAAAGTACCACTCACTCATCTGGTTATATCGCAAAAACGATTTGCCCAAATCATTTGCCCTTGTAAACACATCAAGTAGAAGAGTTTTCCAAAGTATAGTGAAAAAATTTGAGCCCAAAATATTAAGAAATAAAAAATCCAATTTGACAATTTGGATACCTGCCGGTAATCAGCCTGTTTACTATAGTTACTATAACAAAAACAAAATGTGGGTACACTTTTAAGAATCTAGATTTAAAAACCTTCAAATTGACGTTCTAAGATCAAGAATTGCTTATTTGATTGTGGAGTAATCTCTTCTGAAAGTTGAAATTTTTAAAAACATTGGGTTGTAGCCCAGAAGGATCTAGGCATTTTAGAGCAAAATCAAAAAAGGGGTTTGTTTAGAATGCTAAAATAAGCGTTTTGGCCAAGTTTGGCTCAAATCGGTGACATCGACCACAACTTTTACTTGAGCTGGAATGACCCATATAGGGGAAATGACGGCTTCGGCATGACAGACTATTTTCGGCAACACAAATTGAAACACTATTTTCACTAGATTTTCTTAAGAAAACACTTCGCTGAATGCATGCAAACGATTCTTTATGCTTTCAGCTTCAATTTAACTATATTTTTACCACTTAAACAAAGCAATCTAGCAAGGTTTTCTTGAAATGCAACACACGCACTACAAATTGTAGCTGATTTCGAGTTGCCGATAATAGAACAGCAGATTTACATGCAGTTCAAATGGAACGGTTGCCGAAGAAAAACTGGTTGCCGACAATACTCGCTCTCACTAGAGAAGATTGGAGCTTTGTAAAAGCGTTTCAAAACAGTTTTTGACAATTCTTTCGACTGAAATTGTTAGAGCAGCTGGCAGCAAAAGATTGTAAACAAACCAATACTGCATATGTGTGCGTTCCTTATAGAAAAAGGCTATAGAAAGAAGGTCGCTGCTTAGGTTGCCGAGAATACGTAAATTCCCCTATTTACGCAAATAAAATCATGAAAATTCATTTCAAATTTGATTGAGTCCCTAGGGTTAAAAAATGGAGTTAGCACTATTGCTCGATCAATGTCATAAATGTAGATTAAACTATTTGAAAAGTTGCGTGCCAAGTGCAGTGCAGTTTTTATACAAAAAAAAACTTTCAAACATTGGCTGCTACCGCATTTACTCATAAATCACATAAAGTGCAGGAACTCAGTTGAATGATTGTCAGCCCAAATTGAAATGCAAATGGTATTTGTTCAGCCCCATAACACAAATCATCCAATGTAAATAATTCTATCGAACGAGAGCTGACAAACGAAGTGGAAACCTAGTCATCGCTATCAGAGGTAGTACGAACATTGGTAAAGCGTGGAAAACGAAGATTGTATATTTCATGGTGGAGAAAGACTCTTCTACCAACAAACGATTTATGTATCCATGATGGATATTCGAAATGAAAATGTAAACAATCGAATTATAAATCTAATTTGAAACATTTGGAAGTCATCCTATTCTTCAATTGTTTCCTCTGAGTGCTGTATGTATTATTGCATCCTTTATTTGGATGACAGTCATATGGATGCCCATCAGCTGATGACGAATTCAACCATAAGGCAATCATCGAAAATTCGAAAGCATATTGTTAATCATTCGAAGTATTGCGGATGTTTTCGTTCAGTGTACCACCGAACGCTAGTTCCAAAAATCAATACAAAACTAACGATTTTAAATTGGCTCACTACTTGACTTGCCTATTGATCCCAAGCAAATCGATTAACGTGCCCCATTCTAGTCAAAATTCTAGTACTACACAATGTTTGTTTTGATTCGGTATGAAAGATTGACAGATAAAATGAGGGGTTAGTGGATTTTCCTATGTGTCGAGGGGTGAATCGATTAGCTTGGGACCGAAGAGAGTACCAGAGCTGAGCCAAAAAGTTGAGCAGTTTCTTCGGGACCTTCTAGTCTTACTTAGAGCTACCTCTATGCTAGTTCTGTCTGGTTGCATTCAACAGAGGAATTTTTGTAATTCTATGTCTTTAATTATCTTTTAAAATTGCTTGGATTTCCCTTGCTATAGATACCGTTCAGAGTTCTTTAGGAATTCACCTCAGAATTAGTCATTCTACTCAGATAGCCTTTTAATTCTGTTTAAAAAACGTAAGTGCATCGTTCTTAGTCGAATTTCCGTCGGCTATTCAGGTCAACTTTCGACACTCGTCATCCCAGGTAACGATTTGGGTTTTATCATATCAAAACTTCGATAAAACTTGAAATGTTGCATCAGTAACTCACTTCCAGAACACCCACCCACACTCACACGCACACACTTAACCACGTTTGATTTCCTCTCCCGGTAGCAGTTGATACCATTTGGTTGTATTTTGCACAAATATCCAATAACGGTAAGTTGCTCGAGGCGGTTTGTGTTTGCATTTCGCTGAAGCTGCATTCTAGGTTCATATTTTCTTTTTCTTTTTTCCTAGGAGGTAGATCGAACAATAACCTTTTAGTAATTGTGCTTCGCTAAAAAGAATGCGGAATGTGGAGCTTGCCTATTAGAACCTAACTAGTTGCACACCTACACATAATTGCTACAATGGCAGCGTGCGCTTCTACTCTTCTGTTGTTTTTTTTTTTATCTGTTTCATTTGATTGGCATTTGTAACTGTTGCTCTGATTTTGTGATGGTTTATTTTTTATAACTTGATTTTAATCCAACACTAATTTGTCTTTTAATCGCTTGAGTTTTTCCTTTTTCTTGCTTAATCACTATTTTAGTTTTTCTAGATTTACATCACCGACTTTTAGTTTTAGTTTCATTTGATTTTCCCCCTTACACTTTCAATCTTCGATTGACCCACTTCGAGCTAGAGATAACTAATTTTACAAAATGATTTCCCCTATTTCCATTTACCGATGACAGTTTCCGGCTTCCTGCGGAGTCGACGGGAGAAGGCAAAGTCTAAAAAGACCAAGAAGAAGAAAGACTCCACCGAAAACTCCAGTGCCAAAGATGAGAAGCTCTCCGATGCGTAAGTGCCTAGCAGGTGGAATTTTTCGTCAAAATATTTGTGAGTGAATGTTGATTTCTTATGTCTTAGCGAGGATAAGGACGATACAGTGAAAGCAGCAGATGCGGCCAGTAGCAACCTGCAGACGACCTCCGCGGTCAGTACGGGTAATGTGGCTCCGACGGCGACGACCGAAGTCGACGAGGACGGTTACAGCATACAGCCACGTGAAACCACGTGGGACAGTGCGACCATTACCGAGAAGAGTAGTGAGTATTGAGTGTGCTACCCATTCATTTGGAAGATTAATTTTTCCATGTGTTTTCAGATAACTTCTACTCCAGCTCCGACAGCGATAGCGACGACGAACGGGAGGAACGGAAGATTCACGTGGAAATCAAGCCGCTGAACAACGGAGTGGCGCCCATATCGGCCAGTGTGGACGAGTTGCGGGCAACGGTGGAGAATTTATCGCTTTCGCCGATAGGGGCACTCTCGTCGGTAAGTTTACCGTTTGTTTACGCATGTTTGTTGTGTATTCTCGCTAATACGCTAAATTCGCTTCGTATCGTTGCGTGCACCGCAGCTGAGTGAGTGTAGTTTGGCTATTCGTATTTGGAATCGGTTGTGTGAATTTTGAAGGAGTTTTTGTTATACAGTTAGTTGATTTAGTAGTGTTTTTGATCTTCGTTGACACGTTGACTTCAGTGTTTGCTAGACTTGTTCGGTTGAAAACATAATTCATTCATCTAGTTTTTGTTCGGAGTCTTTATTATGCCGCGAATTGACGATTTGAAGACAGTTTTTATCAGTCCTGTTCGTAGAGTAAATATACTTTGTTGAATTTGTCGCAGTTGTGATCTGTGAGATTATTTTGATCACAGTTTGAATAGTGCAGTTCCACGCCAAATGGCGAATCGATCAGACTCGACCTTTTCCGATTTTCATTATTGTTTGTTATGGGCAATCTTTCACAATTGTGCTAAAATTGGAAACATTTTTCTTAATACAAAAATCTAAAAAAACGTGTTAAAAACTTATGAAATATTTAAAATCTTGTACACTTTAAATTGACAAAAATCATCGTTCAAACGAATTGAGAGTGACACGAAGTAAGGGTTCGATTCCCGCTCCAGCTGGTGGACGGTGTCAATTGTCTTGTATTTTTTTGAAATTTTTCTCAGAAAATGATTTAAAAAGTCCCCTCCCGTTCGTAACATGTGGCACCTTGAAGCTAGAAACAATCTAGAACTCTTCATATCAAATAATTTAGGGAAAGGATTAAAAGTGCAGTTTTAAATTGCGTGACATACTTTCGTTGCTATTTATTAATTAATTATCATTGAAAACCAAAACTAGGGTAGAGCTACTTCAAGCTAATCGCCCATTTTGGGTCTTCAAATAAATCCATGAATTCAGAGTTAACAAGTCAATTATGCATTTGGTAGATACTTTAGTTAAAAACCTACCGAACGAAGTCAATGAGAACGCGTGGTATGAATGTTTGCACCCATTATTCTCAAAAACAAAAGCAGTGCTCCGACCGAATCAATTTTTATCTTCATCCGATAGGCCGAAGCGAATTCAATGGCGTTTAAATGGCCTTTCTATGCGTTAGGCCGAATTTAGAATCCATAGGCCTAGTTTGGAGTCAAGAAGCCGTGTTAGATTTTTAACAATATCTCAACAATTCAAATCTTATGGTACGACGTAAATTTAGAAGTCATCTGCATTCCATTTTGTGAAAAAAATCCACTCGAAAAATAGATGCAAAGGGCGGGTTGTGCTTAGTAGGCCCAACATTAGATCTAAGCGCTACCTATATTACCTATATCCTATATCATAAATTATCTTATATATTGCTTCATTTTTGAATATGATGAATGGACTTTGGATCGTGGTGTGCTTCTGTTGTGGCATTTAGGAATACCATTTACCATGATAGGGCACGTTGCGGTAGAATCATGTAACCGTGTTTGAACAACTTACTCAACAGCATTTAGTAACAGAAAAGTTTTATTCAAGGCGGACGAAGACAAGATTTAATTATCAGGTTAACGAAGATAGTTAGGACAAAATAAAATAATGAGATAGGGAAAATTGAACTCATGGAATTCATGGAACAATTATGTCGCGGGGGGGGGGGGGGGTCCGCTTGGGGAGGCAAATAGTTTAAAGGATAGTAGAATGAATCTTCTCATGTAATTTATTGAAGTTTCATTGAGTAGTGAATTGTTTTACACTAGCCATCGTTTGTAAATAAGTGAAATTTGGAGAAGGAAGAGTTTAACAGAATCAAAGAAATAATGATAGAATAAGGTTCGTCTGGTTAGAAAAATGCATGCGTGATTACCTCTCACCCCAGCAGACCTGGTTTCAATCCCAGTTGGCGCCGCCGGGATGTTCTGAGGTATAACATCTCTGATCACGTCTTCCTTCGGAAGGGAAGTAAAGCCGTTGGTCCCCGGTTCATGAGTTGATGGGTCGTTAGGTAGGGTCCAGGTGTGGAAGCTGCCTCCCTGGCGTCGGTAGCATTGGTGCTCAGCACGGAAAACAAGATCGACGGAAAAAAAATACGGGAATCCATCGAATAGCGCCGTATAGATGTTCTATACACTGAGTCAAATAGACTTAAGAATTTCATAAGACTCGACTTATGAACGACAAATATGAATTTCATAAGCGCGACTTATGAAAGATTTTTGTCTAACATAACGTAGCTCTTATACGCCTTTAGTCATTTCATTTTCTTAAGCGTTGAAAGACGAGTGGTCAACACACGAGCTCCGTAATCTCAACGTCCATGGTTCGGTTCCAGTCTGCTACGATTTATTATTTTTTGTCAACATTATTTTTCATAGAATTTCTTATGGAATTCTTACGTTCTTTTGCCTGCGTGTAGGTAACTAGTATATGGTTGACAGTAGTTGACACTAATCACATACAAAAAGCTCAATTAATACGAGGACTACCCGTGAAGTTCGCTAAAAAATATTTGGTTTGACAGGCTATCTGTACCTGTGGCCTAAAAACCGACATTTTTATTGAAACCGGGACCGTCAGCTGATAATTTACGTGAACGAGTTTCTGGAAAAACGTCTGCTGCCTTTTCTGAAGTAACACGATTGTTCCGTGCTGTTTTGGCTGGATTTGGCATCCTGTCATTACGGTGGTGTCCAAGGACAAGACACGCCAGAGCTCCGACCAATAGAACAATATTAGGCCATCGTCAAGCGAAACCTGAAGAAGAGCCAAAAAACTGTTGGAAGCAGTTTAAGGCAAACTGGCGTTTTGCGGCGAACAAAGTGGACGAGGTGGCTGTACAGAATCTGATGGCAGGAGTTAAACGAAAGACCCGGCAATTCGGATTCGGTCAACCGGAAGCTTAGCTGTTTTGTCTGTACGTTATACTAATTGAACTTAAAAAAGGAAAATAATTTGAAAATTATTCAATTTACCCGCATTTTTGTTTGACCAAATTTTGATGGTAACACCCTTTATATGTATAAGAAGCGTATTTAATTTTGGTTATATGCACTAGTTGTATTAATTGTAAAAACCTGAATTTATCCACCTATGGTGTGATCTGTCCCTTCGTCTGTATACAATGTTATATATCGCATTATGAGATTTAATTCAAGTCAGATTCTGGCATCTTCCTTGGGTCACCCGAATAATGTCCGGGTGTATGTGCAATGTGCAATGTGATCCTAGAAACTCAATATGACTACCAATGGTCTTATTTTTGCACTCTCATGTGTCGCATGATGGGTTCTAGTTCAAGTCAGATTCTGTCCACTTCCCCGAAGGATCTCGGAACATGCCAAGGTTTGGCCTATGTGGTCCTGGGCAGCCAATATGCGTACTAATAGTTTTATTTTTGGATTATCATGTGTTTGTACAAAACGTGTGCAACTACCCTACCCAAATACTCATATAAACACACAAGTGCCGCAAGCGTAGTGTTATCATGCCTACCGTTCTATTGTAAAGATTGCAAATAATTTCAATAGTTCGCATGCCTCTGCCATGGCAGGATGGCCCGATAAACGACCGTGTTTTATTTTCACCATCTATTCACACAACGTAGGGAAGTTCTGCTCGTGCGCGACCATCATGTAATTTTTTATGTACCGCTTGATAGGTTTTAGTTCAAGTCAGTTGCTGGTCACTTCCCCGAGGATACCCGGAACATGTACGGGTGTGGCCAATATTCTTTTTGAATTCTCATGTACGTTGAAGTGTCGCGTGATTGGCTTTAGTACAAGTCAAATTATGGCCACTTCCCCGGAGGAACCCCAAACGAGCCCGGGTGTGACCAATGCGATTTTGGACTCTCAATACGACTACCAATGATATTCTTTTTGTATTCTCATGTGATTTAAGGTATCGGGTTTTGATACAAGTTAGAAACTGGCCACTTCTTCGGGGGTATTCGGAACATGTCCAAGATCACGCTTGATTTTCGTAGACAAAAATCAACAAGCAAACAACTGCGGTTGATTTTGCAAGCTGTGATGTTGCAGCTCGGAATATCAAGCTAACAAAACTCACCAGTAGCAAATCTCAACAAACTGTGGTGAGATTGAGTTTCATGATTTTTGCTTTGCACCCGAATGCAACCGAAACTTCCATAACGGCTGGCAGCAGTCACTTCGTGTCTGCCATAGGTGAACAGTAAAAAGAAATAGCAAACTATACTATCTTTTTCTAAGAGAACGCTGGGCAACGGAATCATTTTTGTGTCGAGTCAACTCTCAGCTTGATTTTTGCACGTTGTGAATAGTCTCGCAATATCAAAGGAGCTTGTTAAATCAATATCAAGCATGATATTTTGTTCCAATATCACGCGTGATATTGCGAGTGCATGAGAGCGGAAAAATATCAATTGATTGCTGATTTTGCCAACACTGTGCCGCATGATGGGTTTAACACGTTTCAGGTCGATTTTAAGCAAACCCCACACGCATCAATATATTGACGCGAAGGGGAATTATTGACAATAATATTGATGATGTGAATTCAGAAATATTGTCAATCACGATATATTGACGTCAATATAGAATGTATTGACAATACGATTATTGTCAATAAAAGTAATCGTGTGGGGTCCACTTTAGCCTCATTTCCAATACACACCGGAACTTGCTCCAGTAATATCTTCGAAACCAGTTGATGGATTTCCAAAATATTCAACAGCATTCTATGAGATCATGATACGTTTCAGGTGGTGGTTGTTTCGTCTTATGCGGTTCATTCGTTTCCGGCCATATCTCCCGAACCAGTTAAACGATTCCTCAACTATGCAATAGAGTTATATTAAATCATGATACCTTGCATTTGACGGTTGTCGTGTCCGATTCAGTTCAGTGGTTGCCAGTGTTGGAACAATCATCAATCAAATTAAATTTTTCCACTCTTATACGCTCTCAATATCACGCGTGATATTGGAACAAAATATTATGCTTGATATTGATTGGAGCGGAGAGTTGACTAGACACAAAAATGATTCCATTGCACATCGTTTTCTTAGAAAGAGAAGGTAGAATGATGCTATCTCTTTTCACTGTTCACACGACGTGACTGCTGCCAGCCGTTATGGAAGTTTCGGTTGCATTCGGGTGTAAAGCAAAAAACATTTAACTCAATCTCACCACAGTTTGTTGAGATTTGCAGCTGGTGAGTTTTGTTTGCTTGATATTCCGAGCTGCGATATCACAGCTTGCAAAATCAACCGCAGCTGGATGCTTGTTGATATTTGTCTACGAAAATCAAGCGTGATCTTGGGCATTGGTGAGATTTGATTTTTTGATAATTTACCAACACTGGTGGTTGCTGAGAAACACGACTTAGCTTTCAAAAACCGTGATTTTCAGATCTTGTTCCGGTCATATCTACCGAACCGGATAACCGATTCTAAAAACATTCAATACCGTTGTATGCGACTATTTTACTTTTCATTTGGCTGTTGTTACGTCTAATTCGGATGCTGAATAATTGATCTAGGATTTTTTGCCTCCGAATGCGAACCTTTATAACCTCTCGGTTGACCCTATATTAAACTAAAAACAATATTGTTGATATACATGATTACGTGCTTCAACTATTTGTTTGTATTACTTCTGCGTGAAGTTAACGATTTCCATAGATGAAGATGCTAATTTCAAATAACAGACTAAAGTTGTAATTTTTATACGATAGATGAGGAGATGAAAGTATAAAGTTGATAGTTCCCGTTAGAGTACGGCAGTGTGAAAATTGTGTATAGAAGAGTAGAAAGCGAGCAAAGACAACTTTTAGGAAGGTACATATCGGGTTGATCATCTCTCTTTACCAAACTCCCCTGTTGGAGAGGGATGGTGAGAGGTATACCCCATCCTCCACCCAACATTCAGTTCAATCAAACGTATTGTTCGTCGAGTAACGAACTGTTCAATCTCGGAGCTCTTAATTTTAGATGACATGTTTGTTTACGTCTCATCCTTTATGTCAAAGATGGATTCCGTCACGTGTAAAATTAGTTATTTCTAAGTGTGTATCCTAGAATACATCACATGAGCTGCTCAATATTCAATAATAGCTTGCTTGAAACTGAATACCTAATCTGAAATCTAATAATGGAGCTAGAAACAATTGATAAGACGTCAAATAAAGCATTTTATTAAATCGATTGAGAACAGTCGAATTAAAGCGCCAATGTATTCAAACAAACAGCAAACAGCGGAACGAAGGTGCATCCTATCGATCTCAATGAGCTTTTTTCAGCACATAATTCGACATCCTCACCAGCATCGACATTCAGCATTGTACACTGTTATACAGCATTTATTCAATATGTATGCTTATTTGTGACTTTGAATTGGTTGTTGGGTAAAGCCGTTTGTCCCCGGTTCATGAGTTGATGGGTCCAGGTGTGGGAGCTGCCTCCCTGGCGTCGGTATCATTGGTGCTCAGTACGGAAAGCAAGATCAACGCAAAATAAACCAAGGACAAAAAAAAACGTAATAAGGTATATAATTATTCTACTAAAACGCTCATCAATCAAACTTAGAAAATTTTTGAAATATTTTGATGGATTGACTATCGCTAAAATTAAAAATATGAACATATTCATGATGACCGCATTTTCGTAACGGGAAACCATTTGCTAAACATTGTTTGAATATAAGCATAACGCGTTGCTTACGAAATGTTTTTAAGTGTAATTCGTAACATTTTATTTTTTTTTCTCCAAATTAAAATTAAATTTAAATTCTTAAATGAATATCACATCAGAACGTACATTTAGTAGGCATAATTTTAAACTTCTTTAATCACTTGGTTGTTGACGCCGGAATAGACTGGCCGAAACTCAGGGCCTGGGGTGCAGTAATCATCAATACGGAAACACACAACAAACTTCACATTACAAAATAGTCCAGATTTATTTTACAATATTTACAATTGCTTTATTACTACACCCATTCCCGATCTGTGGGCAAGGGGTGCCAACTATAGTTGCTATATTCATAGTCTGGTGGATAGAATTTCGATCTATCATAAAGCGGAACCAATTCAATATATTTTAGACCAACAATTGGGCACCATACTATGAACTTTTATAAACAAAACGTTGATTATGCTTTCCTCGCCAATCGAACGTAAATTACCGGCATCATCGGATAGGGGAAACATTCGCCAACCCAAAGATGGTGTTAGTTTGCGTAGCCTTGTAGCGAGCCTTGAGTCACGAGTAAAGGGTTTCCGAAGTATACGGCCGGTTTGATCTGCTTGTGAGAAGCGTGCACGGCGAATGAGAACGACTCAAATTTGAGTTTAGTTCACTCATAATCGCCAAAAGTGCAGGAACTCAGCGATGAGTAAAATTTGTCTCATGGTTTCCTGTGGAAAACCTAAAAAATCTGCCGGAAAATGAGGAAATTGACGAAAATTTTATTCAGTCTCGGAGTAGTACCAATAGACTGAGTGAATCCAATCTTTTTTTCTCAAATTCGGGAATTTTTCCCTGGAAAATCCTGGAAAAACATGAGGCAAATTAACTCATCGCTGAGTTCCTGCACTTTTGGCGATTATGAGTGAACTAAACTCAAATTTGAGTTGTTCTCATTCGCCGTGTGGAAATGTCCCAGACGATGAAACTATTGTTTCTCATCGTATGGACGTCGATCTGCTGTGTGCTGCATATAGCCGAGTTGGAGAGTAAGAACGAGAATCTTTTCTGTACTATGGGTGACCATGGGGGTCAAAATATTATTAATCAAATGCAGTTCACGTTCGGCGTGAACATGGTCATAAAGCTTATTTCCGATAGCGGGCTCAAAATGTTAATCAAAGTCTGCTCCTCATGGTGTCCCGTAACATTGGAATGTTTCACATAACAATTATTAAATAAGAATTGTTTTACTATAACCACAGACAAACAGACATAACACTCGCAAGTTCTTCGTCGAACAAGCATTTAACGGTCAATTCAAAAGTATCGTAGTTGGTAGTAACGCCACCTGTGGCGCGCATAGTCAATTCCCTTGCGTTTGACGTTTACAAACTACCGCCATCTGTTCAGCGGACTACCTACCACAGTGTACTCAACAGATGGCGGTAATGTTTTAGCGACGATGTTTTACATTGAGAAACATTCAATGTGTTATGTCTGTTTGTCTGTGCTATAACTGCTCAACCTTCTTAGCCATTAAAAAAAAAAATATAATGCATTTCAACGCTGATGCTGGATATTATTGGATTTAATTTTAACATCCACTGTAACTATATCAGTTGATTTCTGAGTTATGTTTTATCTCCGCGATTTTTTTTTTTCAGTAGCTAATTTACTTTTTTTTCTGCTTTAGATAGTGTCCCTGTAAATAAACATAAAAATAACAATAAAATTCACTGTTACTGTAACCGTTAGATTGATGCAAAATTCGAAATTTTTGCTCCACAGTGCTCAATCGGTTCCAAATCGAGTCCTGACTAACCTTCTAAAATTTAAACTCTTTTGGTAAGAAACTGACTTGGCACAAACCATTTGATGTTTATATAGAAATTACTATGGAAAGTCAAACTTTGTGTTCATTTTCTTCTTGCCATTTTTCCAGATATTGCCACTGTTAAAAAGTTCTAAAGCTATTATTATGGGAAATTTTCTCAGCTACAAATTTACAGAAAAATGTTTTTTAGCCAGACTCAAATTAAATAGTTATTAATTGTTTAAGAGATTGATAATCTTATGGCATGATCAAGCAACTGTTTTGTGGACAACACTGTATTCTGCAGTGTGGCATAGTAAGTAGCCATGATTTTTGTGCTCTATTCAACGCGGCAAAAACACCATTGTTGCCTACTGAGCAGTTAATTGACCATAATCATACTCAGTGACTCGAATCATTAATAACTTGCGTTCCTAATTAAAAAGTGATATTGAACAAAGTTGTAACTGAGAAAATTTCGTACAAGTACAGCTATCATTTTTAAACGCAGAATGAAATGATGAATTTTGAGATAGATATGAACAAAAAATTTGGTTTTCCATAGTAATTGCCATATCATATAAACTTAACGTTTGTGCCAAGTCAGTTTCTTAATAAATTAGTTCAATTTTTGGGAGGCTAATCAGGACCCAATTTGGAATCGATTGAGCACTGTGGAACAAAAATTTCAAATTTATAGAAGAAAAGGGAATTTGTCAGGACACCCTGTACAGTAGAAAAGTATCGATTTTCCCCGAAATTGGGATCCACTGAAAAATAAATTGTTATTTTTTTCAGTACATACTGTAATTGAATATATTGAACGGATTATAATAATGAAAAATCTAACTGAGCAATTTATTGTTATTTCGTTGTTTTACCACTGTTATTTTCTTTTCGAGCCATTAGTAGGTTTTAGTGTACCATTTTCAGATTCCATCCTCGTACCGTAAAAAAAAAAACCTGTAGGATGCGTGAAGTTTTCACATTGATCATATTCTTTGCACTACTAACTGGTTCTATTGTTTCTTTTCTTCATCGTTATCTGTTCTCATATCTTCATCTGTTGGTCTGTTCGTGTTTCATCAACTCGCATACCTTCAACGTTCACACAAACGAATTGAATTGAATTCTCACTGAAAATTCACCCGTGCAGCAGTGCAGACGAAGCTCCGAAACACACGATCGAATGTTGTTGCGCATGAAACGGTCGCAATCGGTTTCGCAACAGTTGGGCGGATCGGGACCATCACATGGGAACGATCCGTCGGTTCTTTCTGATGCTCTTTTTTCTCAGCAGCAGCACCACCACCATCATCATCATCATTCGTCCTCGGCCACGTCGGCCCATCACCATGCCGGTCCCGGTCAGCATCTGAGCGGTGCCCAATCGGCAGCCCTATTGAACAATAGTACCCATCTTACTAGTCCCAATGCGTCCAACGCATCCACGCCCACGACAGTGCATCCGTACGCTCCGCTGCAGAGTCCCACGCTGTCGATGTCCACCACTTCAAAGTGAGTTTCCACGCTTGATTTTGACCTTTTTGGATGGTATCTAACTATAGGTTATCTTTTGAATTAGCAACCGGTACGCGGACCTGGGTGACATCTTCTCGGAGGTGGGTGACATCAGTGCCTCGGCGCCAGCTTCGGCCAATCTGACCAAGCTGACGCAACGACAGATTCCTACGCCAACGACCGCCGGAGGAAGTAGCATAGCGATACCAAGGCCACCGTCTCGGCGGTCGGAAGCTGCAGGTAGGTCTTTCCCCAAATGAGGTTAAATCGGTGGCTTACCAAGGTTAACGAATGTGTTTTGGTGTTTAGTTCGAGGTCGGATAAGCCCCGCTTCGCAGATAGCCCGAGCTGATAGCGTAGGTAGTTTGGAGTTCCGAAGTCCAAGCGTAGGAATAGGATCGTCACGGGGACCTTCGCCGCTGACGATTGGCATGTCGGATACGATACCGGTGGCCGTTGCCTTCCATGAAATTATTCATGCTTACTTCAGGTAGGATGCTGGTTTTGACTTTTGCGGTACAATGATTTAATGGTGTTTTCTGCTTAGGGGTGCGGACGAGACCCGCTGTCAGGTGAAAATGTCCGGCGATATGATGTTGTCCTTCCCGGCGGGAATAGTTAACGTTCTAGCGAATAATCCAAACCCGGCCAAGATGGGTTTCCGTATCAAAAACCTTCAGAATCTCGACAACATGCTGCCCAACAAGCAGCTGATTACGATTGACAAGCTTCAATCGACGGCCATTAGTACAACGTTGGAGTTCAACATGCCAGTATTAACGTCGATCCTGCGGAGACAGTCGGAACAGAACCCCACGGCACCGTACTTCAACGTCGATGTGCTGAAGTACCAGGTCAAGGCCAAACCGGGAGCCGCTTCGTGTCCATTCCACCTGGTGTCCTACTGGAAGTGCGAACAGAGGCATACGGACATCAAAATCGACTACAAGTACAACAGCCACGCAATGGCATCGGCGTCACCGTTGCTCAACGTCTCGCTAACGGTGCCGGTGGATGGCGGTGTCAAAAACGTGCAATCGAAACCACATTCGGCTTGGTAAGTTTGCTGCATTGGGATTGCTGGGGCGCGTGTTTACTCAAAAGGAATCTCCTTTCCAGGCAAGGCGAATCGAATCGGTTGGTGTGGAACTTTACCGACATATCGCAACATTCGGACGTCGATACGCTGCGGGCGCGGTTGGAAGTCGGATCGGGACCATCGAATCCGGCCATCATATCCGCGCAGTTCAACTGCGAGGGCACGACGCTGTCCGGGATTGAGTTCGAGCTGGTCGGAACGGGCTACCGCCTGTCGCTAGTCAAGCGGCGGTTCGTGTCTGGTAAGTCGTTTTTGTTGGACAGGATGTTGATTCTTGACAGATGGAATTTATTAGTTTAGGATCGACCAAAATTGTACTTACAAAAGAACATTTATGAAAATGATCTGTTCCGCAGGGTATCATTTTCGGTTATAAAAAATATCATTTTCGTTTACTTTGAGGGATTGTTCTGCCGGTGGACGCATAACTGTCTGCATAGGAAATTCCATAGTATTTGGGTCATTTATGTGTCCACTTGCAGTATAGTCCTCCCTGTACACCCAAGTATCGAATCTAGAAGTGACTGGAAACGTTCCTAACCCATATCATGCGAAAAATTAAGATCAATAACAGCATTTGAACTAGCCGCAGGCTAAAAATCTCTATAAAGTATTTAAAAAAAAGCTCTTGAATCATGCGACACATTAAAACACAAGAGAATTCGTCAACAATATCAATAGGAGTCACAATGAGTGCCAGAACCACATTCGTTACGTCTGAACATGTTCCAGGTGTCCCCGGGGAAGAGTTCAGAACCTGGCTTAAGCCGTGAAATTTCAAAAATAAGGTCATTAACGGTCATATTGAGTGTTTACTGGCAGTAGGGTGCCCAAACAAAACTTTTTTTTTCTTCGAAAGGTTTACTTGATCATCCCTAGAATGATAGACAAGGCTATTAGAAACAATAGCTACATGCATGAAACTCTTTAAATAAATCTTTAGGGGTTAGTATTTTTTCAGAACAATTTCCTTAAGTGTGATGTGTTTTGATTCTCGAAAAATTTGCGTTTAAAGCCAATGTTTACGTTTGGTTGTTCCGTCTATTTCAATAGTTGGTCTAGATATAAAGTAGCCCAATAACATGGGCTTGTAGTATGAGACCCCAAAGTAACTTCTGTGACCCAAATCGGAGGGTTTTATGTAGGGGAAATGGATGTAATGTCGGCCTACATGACCCTAATTCGAGCATACATAAATTCAGCAATCGACTAAATTTTCAATTGCGACCAAAAATATCCATTAATACCGTCCCAATGACGCGTTCATCTAAATAAAATTGATGAATAGCAGATTTTTAGCGATAGGCCTAATCTTAGATCCATAGGCCAACATTAGAGCCATTTCCCCTATGTAGCTATTGTTTCCAATTGCCTAATCTATCATTCTAGGGGGGGTGAGCAAGTTAACTTTAAAAATAATTTTTTTTGGGGCACCCTAGTGTCCAGGATTACACTCGCCAGATAAGTCTCGTTTGAAATTTTGGCAACTCAGCGTGCTCTGGAGAGGAATGACGAATATTGTGAATCCGACTGGAAATCATAAGTAGCTAATCTGGGTTCTGTAGACCATGATTTGAGCTTGTAGAATGCTTTAAAACCTTGATAAAACTTGCAATGTTGCTTGGGCTAATCTCTATTAATGTCGCTATTGACGTCAGAAGTCGTTACCCCGACTTTAGCGCACCCTACAAGTAACAGAATAAATCAAAAGTGATTAAAGTTCAGGTTTTTATTTAACTACCATCAGTTCAAGCTGGTTCAGCATTAGGTCCTAAGTAAAATTGACATATTCTCTTCGTTGACTTTCTCTTTGCATCCTCACGACCAGGTTAAGACATTGGCAGCTATTATCTAGCATTTTATACGACAAACACACTAAGAAACGGTCCAGTACCTAATTTATCAATGAAAGATAAAGTCGATGAAGAGAATCGATCATTGTTACTTAGGACCTAAAGCATTGTTCAGCTTGAATTCTCGTAATTGAATCCTTTTTCAATATTTTTTACCTGAACCATTCAGAAAACTAGAACGCCATACCTATTCTCGTAATTCCCCTGTAAAGCAGGTTATAACTCCACCTATATATCTATATGGACGACTCTTGGGGTGACTTCCAGTCGCGAGAATCTGGAAGCTGCATCACAACCACACAAAGAACATGTGCCATTTTTCTTATCTCCCCCTAACACCACAATTTACAGGTAAATACATCTGCGAAGGAGACGGCATCCGCGGCGTAAAAACACCGACACCCCCGAACGCCGGCATTCTCTCGCCGAGTCCATACAGTAACAAGTCCGCTGGTTCGGGCGGATCCGGATAACAAAAGCTCTACTTTTTCGACTAGAAACGGTCCGTTGACCGGCTGTGCGATGATGGATGTGATCGAAAGTGCGAATATATGACAGGGCTATTGGCACGCACCCTGTAGCTATTACCTAACACACTATAAGATCAAGCTGTGCATCACACAGAGACGAGACGATTAGCGAAGAGTATCGAATCGAGGAATGCCGTTGTTTACCAATTGATAGTGTTGTTTTATTTTAGTTTACGTTCATACACTTGACGTAACCGAACGAAATGTTGCCTTTTCAAACAGTTTATAGGACAGGAATCTAGTACATGTTTATATTAGGGTAGATTCTATAGCTAGCTGGGAAGCCATCGTTGGACTGTATCGAATTTTGCTTCTGTAAATACTCAAATTCTATACACGCAAGCAAACAGCCGCAAACAGAGGCTGCACGTTTCCTCTATACTACTTTCCATTTTTCAACTAACCAACATTTCCAAGCTTACATATTCAAACCATTCAAATAAATCTTAAAATTATGCATGCGATAACATGAACAGACTGCAGGGCCACTGCACTGACTAGAAGAGATCATTATTGTTACAGTTGCTGTAGGTTAGGGAACCGAATAGTGGAACATATATCACTCAAAAAGCTTTACCGTTGCTAGCCGGAAGTTAATCTTAATTAGCAGGAAAACCCGAACAAGTTATAGTATTACACTCCGATTCTGTGGACACCGTCAGGTCCATAGATCCTAGCCTGGCAGTTCAGTTCAATTTGAAGCAATTTTGATGTACAGCTTTCTTCATATAAATAGAAAATGAAAAATATATAGAAAAAAATAAAGAAAGCAGCACGAAGATGATGCCGAACTGATGATAGCATGGTAAAATTTATAGGAAAAAAAAACGCGATAAATACGACGGCAGAGTAGATATACAATGTAGGACGTAGGTGTACTTTGACTAACTACAGCAGCCGGTAGAAATATATGTCAGACATATATTACGCAAAAACTAATGGACAAAAAAAAAATCTCATGAAATACTAATACAGGTTCATTTTTACCAGCGCTAATAACGGCCATGAATTGACTCACTTTTTCGTGAGAATCACACGAGGTGAGTCAACTCATAACCTTTGTCAGCTCTGGCAAAACTATGAATTTAGGCAAAACTACGAAGAGAAAACTCGGAAGAAAACTTAATCCTAGGCGATAAATTTTAGCTAAAAGGATCTAATAGAAGAGAAATATGGATGAACAAAAAAAAATACAATTAGATGTAACTCTGAGACTAATGAAAATAAAACGAAAAAATATACGCGAGGTTGTGTGTAGTATTATTTTGAAAGAAACTCCCTACCGTGCTTTGACCCGTGTGTTTCAATGTCCAACAATTAATAATTGTCAGCTGAACAGTCAAATGAGTTAAAATTTTGGGAGAATGATCAGGACTTAATTTGGAATCGATTGAGTGGAGTGAAGCAAAATAGACATTTTAAACCACCCATAGTATCTAGTAGTTTTTACAAATAATAGTCATAGGGTAAGACGGGGTAAAATAACCAACAGCGTATTCTTATACTATTCAAAAACTAATTGATATAAACAGTTTCGTTGATGATAGTTCGTTGATGATACTTCTGAATGAAAATCCATGAAATTTGTTTTGAAAAACACGTAAATAAGCGCTGTTTGTCATATTATATCATGGCGCGCATTATTCAACCTTACCCTATAACATTTTCATTATACTGTAATATTTTTGATCGAAAAAATAGTGCGCAACTTTGTCAGCCTAAAATTTGTGAAGGGACCTTTTTTTTTAAATAATCCATTTATTTGTCAAGGCTCAAATGCGTTAGCTTTGCGGAGCCGAATATTTTTTTAACATTATTGTGTGTGAATATCATTTTCTTACAACTAATGTTAGTAGAACGGGGGCCGATTACTCGCGGTTTACTCGAAATTAGGGATTACATTTATTGATCATTTGGAGGGAGGACAAGGAAAAGCATTTTGAACTAATTTAAAACTTAAACGTAAAGGATGACTAAAACACAAAACATTAAACACATACATCAACAGCTTTAAGAAAGTCGTAAATAAGCTTCATAAAGACGATATCACGGCAAGCCAAGACGTCTCTAATTGACTTAAAGGGTTGTTTTCCTCGGACCCTAAGGGAATCACACAGAACGGATCTCGCCTCATGATGCAAGGAGCAGGACCAAACAACATGCTCGATGTCGTGATAACCGTTTCCACAGGTGCACAAGTTGCTGTCGGCGAGCGTAATACGGATTCATGATTGGACATGAGCCTGGACATTACACGAATAAAATCACGACTCATATCCAACCCTTTGAACCAGGGTTTGATCGACACCTGTGGGACAATAGAATATAGCCATCTTCCCAGATCACCATCATTCCACCTTTGTTGCCAGTTGGCGAGGACTTGCTGACGAGAAATCGTGAAAAATTCGTGGTAGGCGATTTGTCGCTCGTAAATATCGCCTTCCATAGCGCCCACCTTGGCCAGCGAGTCCGCTTTCTCATTGCCCGGGATAGAGCCATAGGCGTAGCCAGATAGGGGCAGGGGGGGGGGGCGACTGCCCCCCCCCTAAACTCGGCAACACAAAGGCTTTCGAGGAAATGGCGTTCGGTGAAATGGCATTCGGCCAAATTTTCCATTGTAATTTTTTTTTCGCCCCTCCCTAGCTCGAAACCTGGCTACGCCCTTGGATAGAGCTATGAGAAGGGACCCATACCAAGGTGATGACATGCGAGCTGTTTGATAAAGCACTCAATGACGATCTATTTCCTGGAGGAAATACGCCGAGTGCTTTATCGGCCTCATTGAACGCATAGCCTCCAGGGAGCTTAGCCTATCCGTAAAAATGAAATAATGGTCAGGTGGAAGTGAGGCAATACGCTCTAACGTGTACGATATAGCTGCTAGTTCAGCAACGTATACCGAACACGGCTTTTGAAGCTTGTATGAAGCGCTATGAAGATCGTGGAATACTCCAAAACCAGTGGAAGCATTTATCACCGACCCATCTGTGAAAAATCTCTTCTTGGTTGAGACGTGGCAAAATTTGTTCGCAAAAATAGTTGGGACAATCAGGGAACGGTGAGGCTCTGGAATTCCTTGAATCTCCTGCCTCATTGTGAGATCGAATCTCACGGAAGAACAACTGAAATGATGGGAGACAGTGCGATTGGGGTTGAACGAGGAGGGATGTCCAGAGTCATGTACTCGTTGTACAAGCTCATGAATCGTGTTTGAGGATTCCGCTCTAGCAGCTTCTCAAAATTTTCGATCACCAGCGGGTTCATGACTTCACAGCGGATGAGGAACCGGAACGATACATCCGCAAAACGATTTGTTAAGGGGAGGACGCCCGCAAGAACTTCAAGACTCATGGTATGCGTCGATTGCATACAACCTAGCGCGATTCGAATGCAACGATATTGAATCCTTTGGAGATTCAATATGAGCGTCCCCGCCGCCGATTGAAAGCAAAAGCTACCGTACTCCAAAATCGAGAGAGTGGTGGTCTTGTAGAGTCTTATCAGATCTTCCGGATGGGCTCCCCATGAAGTGCCGGTAATGGAACGAAGGAAATTGATTCGCTGTTGGCTCAGTTGCCTCAGATACGCTATGTTTTTTCCCCAAGTGCAGTTGGAATCGAACCAGACACCTAAATACTTAAACGACATGCTGTGAGTGATTGTTCTACCCATAAGTTGAAGCTGTAACTGTGCAGGATGATGCTTCCTAGAAAAAACAACCATCTCTGTTTTCTCCGGCGAGAATTCGATACCCAGATTCATTGCCCAAGTAGACAAATTATCCAAGGTATCTTGCAATGGACCTTGCAGGTCCGGTGCTGTTGGTCCAACCACGGAAACCACGCCGTCCTCTGCAAGCTGCCTTAGCGTGCAATTTTCGGCCAGACAATCATCAATGTCTTTGACATAGAAATTGTACAGGAGAGGACTTAAACATGAGCCTTGTGGAAGACCCATGTAGCTGATTCGTGCAATTTCCGAGTTGACATGAGAGAAGCTCATTCGTTTCTCGGACAACAAATTAGACAGGAAATTGTTGATAATCGGAGAAAGCCCACTCGCATGGAGTTTGTCCGAAAGGATGTCGATGCAAACATAATCAAACGCCCCTTTAATGTCCAAGAAAACTGAACCCATCTGCTATTTTTCAGCTTAGGCTAATTGGATTTCAGTTGAAAGCAACGCAAGGCAGTCGTTCGTCCCTTTGCCCCTACGGAATCCACATTGCGTATCTGAGAGTAAGCCATTCGCCTCGACCCACTTGTCCAGACGAAGAAGAATCATTTTTTCTAACAGCTTCCGAATACACGACAGCATCGCGATGGGACGGTACGAATTATGATCCGACGCGGGTTTACCGGGCTTCTGGATGGCGATAACTCTCACTTGTCTCCAATCATCCGGAACAACGTTGAGCTCAAGGAATTGATTGAACAAGTTCAACAATCGCCTCTTTGTGACTTCTGGGAGGTTCTTGAGCAGGTTGAACTTGATTCGATCAATTCCCGGAGCCGAGTTATTGCATGAAAGAAGAGCAATTGAGAATTCTACCATCGAAAACGGGGAGTCCATGTCATCGTTTTCCAGCGGCGGATCGCGAGTGTTGCATCGAACCGGACCCGAATCGGGACAAACCTTACGCGCGAAGTCGAAAATCCACTTGTTAGAGTACTCCTTGTCCTCGTTGACCGACGATGCCGCGTTACGCATTCTCCTGCCGACATTCCAGAGTGTTTGCATGGAAGTCTCTCGCGATAGCCGTGAAGGGACTGACAAAATCGGGAAAGCACTGTAGTTACAATGAGTCTTTATGTGTCGTCAAATTCATCGTTACATAAGAACAGCGGAAGAATGAAAGAGACGACAAATTTGCATTGCCGGACCTGTTATCCATGACATTGATATACTGCCTCTATTCCCATAACAGTCTTACGTCCTATGGAATTCCTATTAACATAGGACTGTTATGCAAATAGCGACATTATAGGTGTCCTTTGCTGTTGCAAAGACCCCAAATTCATAATGATCCCATAGGGAGCATGCATTAAGTTTGGGGAAAATCAACTCCTCTGCTCCCTTTCGTTACGTTTTTCCTGCTATACCTAATGCATTGCTTGCCACACATTTATAAACCCCTAGATCGTGACGTACTTAATGGATGCTCCCATACAGTAATTCAATATAATTTCAAAGAGCAACAGGAAAATTAATCCCTCAACTCAAAACGTGTTTCAGGTCAGTAAACCAATTGCTCGTATTCACCAAAAAGCCAATATGCCCGTTGCAGTGCGTTTCTTGAAGGTTATGGTCGTCAATAATTAATCTCGTCAAGACATATATTTTCAAAACAGTTACAATCATCCCATTCTGTATTGCGCCATCCTAACATGTATGCACCGCCCCTAACATCTATGAACCGCCCCTAGTTATACGCCAGTTAGTTTTAGCACATAAATCGAAATAGGGACGGGGCAGGATCGCCAGTACACCTCACAAATCTTATATTTTTGAATACTACTCATACGTACATGTCAACAATGACCCTAGGATGCAACGTTCCAAAAATGATTTAGAAATATTCAATAACTACAATGAAATTTATGCAAAGGTGCCGACCGAAAAAATCCTCTCTTTGTAATAAGAATTTGCAATAAAATCAATAACCCGTTTTTTGTTACGGATGTTACAACTTTCAATTAATGTTTTAACCCTCCCCGGGGTGTCTGAGACTGGTGTTGGAAAGTTACTTTGGCTTTTGAAACTCTTACCATTTTAGTTTCTCCCTGATGTTTTGATGATATGATGATGATGATATCGAACTACCACTCACTGTAGCAAGACAACTGTCGGTAGACTGGGCTATCCTCGCTGTTCGACTCGACAAGTTTAATAACCTCTAATTGTACCCAACCTGCCATTGTATGACGGGCCAAAAAAGGTTTGGGTGAATCCGTGGGCAACATCGCCCACGTGCATCCACGGGATGAATGAGATCTCCTTCCAACAACAGAGGACCTTACAACCGTTCAAAAAACAGGACATCCAGCAGGAGGATGCCCCAATGAGTGGGGAGAAGAGCCCGCCCTCTATTCATGAAATGTCAATGAGTTGGCATTTCCACTCTCTCCATCCATTTCGCTTCAATCGAGTGCCCTAGTGAACCCTCCCGTACCCAGCATTTGATGTTTCATATAATGGTGGAAAGTTAAGAGAAAATCAAAGGAACGATCTCAGCCGATATATCCATGACATCCAAGGGCCTGACACGCAGCCTTCTTTTCGTAGCTAGCATAAAAACGTGATCACATATCAATCCAAGCGGGCCCAGAGCGTGGGATATATATATAGGATTATTAGTAAGGGGCAACGCTCGACTTATGAACGACACATATGAATTTCATAAGCACGACTTATGAAAGGTTTTCGTCTAACATGAGGTAGCTCTTCTACGCCATTAGCCATTTCATTTTTCCATCTGTTTACAGACGAGTGGTCCAGACACAGGACTCTGCTCAGTTTAATAAAAAAATACCGACAATTCATACCGATGTCTTGTAGCTAAAATTCATAAGTGCCTCAGTGTAATGCAATGATTGTCACAAAATCACAACACCCCTAACCCCATAGAGCGTGACATATATATGCATCACCCCTAAACACCAGAAGAAGTGTCATTCAAACCAAATATGCCTATACATTCCAAGGAGGGAAGGGTGAGAGCGAAATCGAAATATGAGGCCGATGAAATTAAAATCACTCGAGTCTAATACCCTGGACAGACTATGGCTTATATCATGTAATATAAGCTGTCTTACAATGAGCACTCATACATCTAGTTTTCACTGGAAATCCTATGTATGAGTGCTCATTGCAAGACAGCCTATATTACATGATATAAGCCATAGTCTGTCCAGGGTATAAAGGAAGAAAAATGTCGCAATATCGATATTCGAAAAATTGTTCTGTCAGCTCTGCGGTCGTAAAATTAATCATCCATTGGGTATTTTACTTTCTTTTGAACATGATCTGTTCATTTATATTTTTTGGAGAACAAATCATGATAAGAGCGGATAAGCCAACTCTTTCTTATTAGATATTGTACCATAAGATAAGTACCATAATTTCGCGCAACTAATTTCCTTATTTCGTTTTAAAAAATCCTAAAGTAATTTCTAATCTTGATATTTTATATTGAGCTTAATAATAGATAGGTATTATTGACTACACTAGTCTAAGTGTATCGATAAATGAGGGCGTCAGAAGAAAAGAGGTCCAAGTGACAAACAGAAATGCACACTTGAATAAGATAATCACCCATATTCTTGTTTTCGTTCGAACCGTATTTTCCATACAAAAAAACTTTTTTTTTGTTTGGAAAATACGGTTCGAACGAAAACAAGAATATGGGTGAATATGAGCTGTACACACTTTTTAACACCCCAATTCCCTCTTATAAAGTTTGGAGTTTTACTCAAATTATCAAAAACCTTATTTTTTTAACTTTTCCGAGAACTTTTCTAGGTTTATTCCTTGTACCACGTTCCTTCTAAGACCCCCTCAAATCATGTTTCAAATACAAATATAGAAAATTTCACAATACCATTCAAAACATCGGCAAAATGAGGGGAGTTTGGCGTTGCGGGAAATTATGGCACTTCAATGTAGCTAGATATTTTCCCTAACTCGATCATTTCAAGGTTCATTAAATTATGCAAGCATCATTCTTTACCTATCTTGATGTGTTTTGATTATTTTTGTCATGCATTTTCCTCTCTATAAGCTGGTTTAACATTATGTACCGATATATATACATAAAGTTAAAGCATTCAAATTGATCTTAATTATTCATAATTAAGCTCATTTGTGCTCTACTAAAAAGATGTTAAGGTTAAATTGTTTATTAACAAAACTCCATCTGACTTAATTATTGAAATGTTGCTTAATAGGAGGGAATTTCTGCACCTCCCATAGCAGTTTGGTGGGATATGCGCAGAACAATATCCTTTTAAATAAATTGATCATTTTAAATAAATTGATCCTTTTAATTAAATTGACCTTTTAAATAAATTGATGATCCAACTCTATTTTGTATTCCTATCCCTCGAGCGCGTGCGCGTGCGCGAAGTTGTTTTCACAAAAGAAAACGTCAAACCGGGCAGTGTTTTTGCGCAGATTTTCGTTTCCACCTGTCAACCGTTTCTTTGCGATTCTCACGACACCACTCAGGTCGCACATCGCGGTGTTTTCATTTCTGATTTTTGTCCTTCGCGAAGTGGAAAAAAAGGGTTGCACTCGGTTGTGCTTTTCTCGAGTTTGTTCCTTCGGACATTGAATTCTATTGTTCTTCACTGGCAAATAGAAAATAGAAAATGGCTCTCCGTTTGTTCCGCCTCAGCCAGGATGTGGTCGGTCCGATGATCAAGCGTGTAAGTAATGCCAGACGATTTCCGTGGGAGACCTCGAAAAAGTTACATAATTATTTTCCCCACCTTCAAATGATCCTCATCGGGTTCCTTTTTTTTTTTCGTTCTGTAGAGCTGCGGATCCGTATCGGCGTTCGAGCTACAGCACAAGAACCCAACGCAACGTAAGGTCGAGAAGATCCCCAAGGCTGAGTATGGAGGTCGTCACACGGTTACGATGCTGCCCGGCGGTGGTATCGGTCCGGAACTGATGAGCTACGTCAGGGAGGTGTTCCGGTTTGCCGGTGTGCCGGTAGACTTCGAAGTCGTGGACATTGACCCGGCGAGTGAAGGTAATGACGACCTGGAGTATGCCATTACCACGATCAAGCGGAATGGTGTTGCCATCAAGGGAAACATTGAAACCAAATCGGAATCCACCGGTATCATGTCCCGTAATGTGGCCATCCGCAATGAGTTGGATCTGTTCGTGAATGTGCTGCACTGCAAGTCGTTCAATTCCATTCCGGCACACCACAATAATGTCGATGTGGTCATTATACGACAGAATACGGAAGGCGAGTACGCTATGCTGGAGCACGAGAGCGTCAAAGGGGTGGTGGAGAGCATGAAGGTGATCACGGTGGAGCATGCTGCTCGTGTGGCACGGTACGCATTTGAATATGCGCGGGTCAACAACCGGAAGAAGGTGACCACTATCCACAAGGCCAACATCATGAAGCTGGCTGATGGACTGTTCCTGAGCGTGGCCCGCGATGTGGCCAAGGAATATCCAGACATTCAACATAATGACATGATCATCGACAACTGCTGTATGCAGCTGGTGTCCAATCCGCATCAGTTTGATGTGATGAACACGACCAACCTGTACGGCAGTATTACTTCGAACGTTCTGTGCGGTTTGGTTGGTGGTGCCGGTCTCTTCTCGGGAAGGAACTACGGTGATCATGTGAGTACCTATAGTTTTTTTTTAGTATAAATGTCGTGCCTCAGGGCTCATAGCGTTGACGGGACAAGCATGAAGAATAACCTTACTGCTATTGCAATTAGAAGGGAACGTTCAAAGCATTTCGTCACTGGACGTAGTTCGCAAGTTCTGACGATAACATGATTTGTTGTTTTTACGAATTGTGCTTATATTTTCTTTTGCCCTGGAAATTTCCTTTAGTCTTCGAATGTAAGGGCTTAAGAGCTCTGGAATTTCATCTAGAATTCGTCTTTAGATCCAATGAAAATCTTCTGGACGTGTCCTTGAAGAACTCTGGGTTTACACTACAAGTCCTTTGCACTTTAACATTGATCGTGGCATAGAAATTCCGTTGCAGCAGCTACTCAAAGTTTCTTTGGACTGATCCTTAAACCCTCTTGACTTGCTTAAAATGGCTATGTAGAAGCCTGACATGGTTTCTACTGAGGATTGAGGACGACAGATCGAGTGAGACCTGATTAAACTTTAATTGATTTAGCATAAAAGGATCTTCATCTTTGGTTAATTTTAGTTAATTTTTAGTCAGATCACCTACACCTACCTTTCTTCCAAATTCAGAATTCTGGCCAGGCGGTGGAACATCCGCCGGACTTTCAAGGTCAACCCCCGGCTTGCAGCGAAAATCTTGAAGATTTCTAAGAGAAGTCCAAAGAAATTCCGGAGGAATTCCAGAAAAACATTTTAGGAAATTTTAGAAGGAATTCATAGGAAAATCGGGAAGTTTTGAAGACCTTCATGAACAGATTTGAAAAGTTAGAAGAATATTCCTTGAATTCTTGTCGTTTTTTTTATTAATTATGATCATTTACTAAACTGCCTTTTGAAGATCAACCAGACTTCATTTTTCTGCTGGAATCTTCAAAAATCATTCAGAACGTCCTTCGAAGTTCCCTGAACTTTCGTCCTTGCTTAATACCAAACATTTTCTTAAATATGTAACCGAATTTTCACTAGAAAATCGTGGAATTCACCTCCCAGTTCCTTGTTTGAACTTCTACTGGAAACATTCCTAGAAATTCTCTGAACTTTTCCCTGTGGTTTGCCTTATAAGCTTTTTGAACATATTATAGTTTGTCTTGAACATCTGCTTAAAGCTTCCTGAAATCCTTTTACTATCTTGCTGTACCTTTCCACAAATGTCTGTTTCAGCTTAAGTATATTAAGATCCACAGACTTTTCCTAGCTTCTTCTCGATGATTTCAAAATGTTGCCTGAAACGATCGTTCTTTGAACTTTTCCTCGAAGTTCGTCCCGAATTTCTACACGAAGTTTCCCTTGAAATGTTCTTTGGCGTTTCCCGAGTTCCTAACATTTTATCAAGCGTCTTTTAGAAAACGCCTTTGAAACTGCCTTGCGAAGCTCTTCTTGAAGCTCCTCACAATTCAATCTTTCAGTCCTACCAAGCTCACAATCGCAGCTCAGATTCAAGCGAAATAACTGCGTCATCCAATGTGAAGAGCTATGACACTCGAGCAGCTTCTCCACTCAATTCACTCGGTTCGTCAGTTCAATGCAGAGCAGTAAGAACAAATTGCGAAATGCCGCCTTGGATTCATCACAGAACGAACACAGCTCACTATCTCTGGATTAGCCGGATTCCTTACCTTTCAGTCAGTCTAAGTACAAGGCCCGATTATCTTTTATTGTGCAAAGATGTCATCTCCATGTCTCCATGTCTGTCACCAGCCACGGCTCCACAGGTTAATTCCACCTGGTTGATCCATCTTGTCCCGTTTGCGGCTTTTCCTCTAGTTTCAGTCAGGTCGTTTTCAAAAACTATTTCCCCCGGATTTTCGAATTTAGAATCTAGATTTTAATGACTCCCAGCGTAGTTTGGAATCACCTCGGGAATGTCTGGAATCTTTGTCGTGAACTTGAATCTTTTTCGGTTACGTCTGGAACCTCCACCGACACTTGAAGCGAGTCGATATCCATCTGAAGAGCGCAACAATCGACCATGGAGTTTATCAGGCGGAAGAATTTTAGGTCATCAGCGAACATGTACCTCGGTGAGGGTTTATCTTCGAGTTGTTATTCACATCGTCGTGATTGTGCGCTGCTAAAATTGTCGATTTTTTATCACACGGGCTATCGTTATTCGTTTTTTTCCGTTCGGTATACCTGTAATAATGTACTGGTTGTTTGTGGAAAGTGCAGTTCGTTGCGATAATCATCTAATTAGAGCATATTTTGTGTTGTGAAAACAGTGAAAAAGTTATCCAATCAGACATATCGTCTAGCATTGGGCGATCTTGAGAATCCAATTCCTCTTTGCGTATTAGAGCATCTCCACCGCTGTTTCTAAATCAATTTTGGAAACTGAGTCAGCATGACTTTCGTCTGTGACCAATGCGCTAAACCAGTTAAAGGCGATGAAGAATCCGTCTCCTGCATGGCTTTTTTGCGACAGGATGATTCACCTATAGTGCGGGTGCAGTTTCGAACGCCTTTGGATACGGTTGTGTTTTAAGTTTGTTCTCTGTTTTGTGCGTGCGTTCGCTCTCATAGTTTTCGGCTGCAATTGCCGGATTATCGCTGGCGCTCTTCCTCCCGGACGTTTATACGTGTGTGATTGGTAGTTTTCTCGCTTTCCGGGAAGTTTTAGAATAGAGAAAGAAAACGTGATTCAACATGTTTGCAAGCATCAGAAGAGATGTCGCGATCTGCGTTGTTTGATTTTCTCCCGGACCAGAAATTAGTGGCATCGCGAGTGATAATTTTTAATTCCCCCGGGGAAGTGGCCTGAAACACATGAGAATTCAAAAATATGATCATTGGCATTCTTATTGACCGTCGCAAAAATCGCGTTTCCCAATTCTACAGAAGCTAGTTCGATTTCCTGGTAAACAGCTAAGAAGGGAATGCTAAATATTTGTATATTCTCATTGAAAAATAGACCACACCGACCAGGAAACCATTCCCGGGAAGTTCCCTCTGTGTAGAATTATCAATAAATTTAGGGACATTGCTAATGGAAGTCTCTGGACTTATTTTTTGGAATGTTTAGAAAAAACTTCCAGAGAAGTCAGAAAAGACTTCCAGGTAAAGTTAGAAGAAACCTTCGGAGGAATCTGAGGCAATCATCTAGGAAAAATCGGAAGAAATTTTCGAGGGAAGTCCGAAGGAGCTTTCTGATGCAAGTTGCATTAAACTTTCAAAGAATGTTTAAAGTAGCTTCCAGAAAAAGTTAATAGACACTCAAGGGCAATCCAAGAAGGAATCCTGGGGGAAATTCAGTCGAAGATTCCAGTAGAGATCGTCGTCTCCCAGATGATGTCGAAAGAACCCCCATGACGAAGCCAGACACACTTCTAAGGAAGGTCAGAAAAAAACTTTTAGGAGAATTTGCAGGAATCTTCCGTTGGGTGTCAGAAGAAACTTTCAGGGGAATTCAGAAGAACCTTCCGGAGGAAGTAGCATAGCATCGTTATAAAATTGGAACTAGCTTCCGCGGAAAGATGGAAGAATATTCTGGAGATGATTCCGGGAATAGTCGGAAGACACTTTTAGCGGAAATCGAAAAAAAAGACAGAAGAAGCTTCCGGAGGAAGGTAAACAATATTTCCGTGGATACCTCAGAGAACGTTTGGAATATCCGTCTGAATCGCCTCGAATCAAAATTGGGACGGTTGGATATAAAGTCGCAAAGGTTTCAAATCTCGGTAGTATCCTTCGGGAACGTTTGAAATCTCCGTCGTGAACATCTGGAGTTTCCATCTGAAATCATCATCGGGAACGTTTGAAACCTCCATCGTCAACGTCTGGAAGCACCTTCGGGAACGTCTGAAATCGTCCTCGGGAACGTCTGGAATCATTTTCGGGAACATCTGGAATCTCCGTATGGAACGTCTCGAATCTAAGTCGGGCACGGATGGAATCCAGGTTAAGAAGGTTTTGAATCTCGGGAACGTCTGGAAGCACTTTCACCTTTGGCAAAATCTGAAATCTCTGCCGTGAAATCATCTTCGGGTCGACCCTAATCTCCGTCTGGAACGTATCGAATCTAAGCCGGGCACGCTTGGAATCCAAGTTGGGAAGGTTTTGAATCTCGGAAACGTCTTGACGCACCTTCGGGAACGTCTGAAATCTCCATCGTGAATCTTTGGAACCATCTCCGGGAACTTCTGGAATCTCCGTCTGGAATGTCTCGAACCTAAGTCGGGCACGGATGGAATCCAAGTCAAAAATCGGGAACGTCTGGAAGTACCTTCGGGAAGATTTGAAATCTCCGTCGTGAACATCTGGAGTCTCCGTTCGAAATCATCCTCCGGAATGCCTGAGATCATCTTTGGGAACGTTTGAAACCTCCATCGTAAACGTCTGAAAGCACTTTCGGGAACGTCGTAAATTTCTGGAATCATCTGCGGGAACGTCTGGAATCTCCATCTGGAACGTCTCGAGTCTAAGTCGGGCACGGATGGAATCCAGGTTAAGAAGATGTTGAATCTTGGGAAGCACCTTCGGGAAAGTCTGAAATCTCCATCGTGATCGTCTGGAATAATATCCGGGAACGTATGGAATCTCCGTCTGGTACGTCTCGAATTTAAGTTGGGAAGGTTTTGAATCTTGGGAACGTCTTAAATCTCCGTTTGCAGTCATTATCGCGAACGTCTCGAATCATCTTCGGGGCCATCTCGTATCGCCGTCTGGAACTTCTCGAATCTAAGTCGAGCACGCCTGAAATCTAAGTCGGGAAGGTTTTGAATTTCTTTAAATAAAATTTTGATTTTCCCCTCGATCTTCCTCTTAGGCTGTGTTCCATTTAATGAATTTTCAATTAAATTTGACAGATGGATTTTTTTTCAAATAAACCTGCTTTTGTACCAGACTTATTTCTGGCAGACCATGAATCAATTTTGACAAACACGTACTCGAAAATCGGACGATCATTATAATTTATTTTCGAAATGTCAAATTTAATGACCGCAGGCTCGGTCTTCTGCATTATGGCCACAAATGAC